TTCAAAATGGTGATTTTCATAGCTAACTGCGAAATTACAAGAGGGGTATCATCATTGTTTTTATGTAAAGCCCATTCTTGGACTAGCTCCATGATATACATAAGTATATTATAATATATATATATATATATTATTATTATTATTATTATCATTATATATTATTATATATGTGTGTTATATGTATATATGTATATATGTTGTATATGTATTATGTGTGTATTATATATATTATATATATATATATATTATATATATTATATATATTATAATATATATATAAGTTGTAATTGTCCATAGCTGCTATAGCTATGTTATATAGATTAGCAGAAGGTACTCAACCCCAAATGATCTGACAGCCATACTTTCATTTGACATAGGGATGATACTTGGGATGATTTGATTGGGAATCCGGGATACCAAAACATCCCATAAGCATACAATAAACCACAGAACCACAGATTGGGGATGGTTTTTGCTGTTGTGGATCACCATGAATCTACATAGAAAACAGTGGAAATCCTGGCATCTGAACGATGCCAGAATTAAACCTCCAAGTCTGAAAAACTTCACCCTCAAATCTTGGCTTTAATCATCCAAATGTAAGGGTCAAGCAAACCCTTGGTGTGACCAGTCTGCAAAGCTTGCATCAGTGGTGGGTCCCACGGTGGCCCTTTGAGATTGTTGGAGTAAAACAGTCCAACACAACCATACTACCCTCTGGTAATTTAACATAGCTATTGAAAATGACCATTTATAGTGGATTTTCCCATTGAAAATGGTGATTTTCCATAGTTATGTTAGTTTACCAGAGGGTAGTCATTACAAACATCATCAGCATCCTCGTCGTCATCCTCCTCCTCCTCCTCATCATGAACCATCATCCTATCATCCTTGCACGAAGAAAAGTCCATCCCTGACATACCCCCCAGACGGATGGATTTGGAAGGTCTGGGATTCGATTCGTTGTCGATTTGGCATTGCCACTGAATATTTTCCATCGCAATTCCTTCGCATCAATCACCCGCGCGCTTTTTCTCCCTGGCTGGATGTCCGGAATTCTACTCCCAGTAGCCCCCAAGTCTGATATTTCCGGGCGGATGAACCGCAAAACCAACCCAGTATGAACCAGTATGAACCAGTATTCACCACTATGAACCTATGAAAAACCTATGAAAACCCTATGAAAAACCAGGGGGGCAACACCTGAGTGGAGAATTTTAAGGCACCCAACACCCAAGCCACCTGAGGCCAGTGGTTGGAATCCGGAGAGCGGATTGTTGATGATGGACCTGAAGAGGAGGTCCAATAGTAGGCACCCCGGAATCATGACCCCAAAATCGCAGTTTTTAACTTGGAATATGTTGTAATATGTCCCATATGCTCCATGTATGGTATATTTACATATATTATCATATATTTACCAACATGTGCCCAAACAAAATCACCCAGTTTTGTAGGTAAATATACCAGCACCATGGAGCATATGGGTGTTGGAATCATCATCCCAGTCTGATTGTTTGGAGGAAAATCAACAGAACCACAATACTTGAAAGTTGAAACCATCCTGAAACCACCCACGAAGCAGTTTTCTTAGTGGAACATCAATTTTTGATGTTTAAAAACATGTTCAAACCACCAACCAAATCTAATGAATATCCCCAAAGATCTTATCTTTTCAGCTAATGTCATGCCAAATATTGATGGCATTGGATGATCCAAGAGTTGATTTTTAAAGGCGGCAAGTCCTCAGTAGATAATACCAGTAATCCCATTGATCCCATCAATATACCCTCTGGTTATTTAACATAGCCATGGTATAGATGCCCCACTTATAGATGGTTTACCTATTAAAAAATTGTGATTTTCCATGGCTATGTAACAAATAACCAGATGGTAATATAGAAATAATCTTGATGACTTAAAATTAGATATGTGATCATGGGATATATCACGTGATGATGATCAAATTCATGTACAGTAGAAGATACTGTAATATAAACCATCCCCCAGTCCTCACCATTTTGTACAAACCAATCCCACATGGGTGGTTTCTGGCATTGTTTTACCAACATTAATACTGTTAAGGTATCATCCCTCGCATTCTGCTGTTTGATTGTCAATGATGAAGAAATTTGTCTTTAAAAGCAACGCCAACTCCAAATGGATCTGGGGGAGCGACATTGAACATGACAAGCAGGATTGTGACTGTGACTGTTCATGAGAAGCACATCCAACGGATATGTATGTATGTGTATATGTATATATATATATATGTAATAATTTTGTATATATATAATATATGGTATCATGGTTGATATACATATATATATATATATATATATTACAATACAAATCAATACAACATGTATATCTATAATCAACTTTAAAATGTTGTGTTGAATCCCCTACACCCTAACATGAACCCAATATCCAGGTGCTGGATGCGTTTTTTTTCACCCAGCAGCTGGGTTTCCATAGTCGTGGGGGTACCCCCATAGCTGGATGGTTTATCATGGAAAATACATCTATAAATGGATGAGAACTGGGGTTACCCCCATGACTTAGGACACCTCCACATGTGGAGGTATCTACCCTCTGGTAAACTAACATAACTATGGAAAATCACCATGTTTAATGGGAAAATCCACTAAAAATAGCAATTTTTCAATAGCTATGTTAGTCACTACCAGAGGGTAATCTTAGGGGAATGGGAATATGCGTCCCATTCCAGTGGGGTTGTGGCTCAAAAATCTGGGCAAGGGTTGACCATCATTCACAACCTTCAGAAAATGTTCATCATGTTCGGTAAATTTACGATGATTTCCCAACTAGGCGTATAATTATCATGTATTGTCATAAATCTAATGACATCTCAATTCTACAAACACGAATTGATACACAATTTATCAAGTTGATGTCCATTACTGTTAAGATCTTCATAGGTTCTGAACATTTCTGCACTATATATATATATATTCCTGTTAGTTCAGAATTCCCGTACAAACCTCCCACATGTTTAAACCAACGTTCAGAACACCACCGTCAAAGCACTCCAGGGCTTCATTGTTGCAGCCATGGAATGCCCAGCACCTCAGATTCTTTCATGGCCAGCACAGGTTGAATCATCCGACATGGTATAGATGCCCCATTTATAGATGGTTTACCTATTAAAAATGGTGATTTTCCATGGCTATGTAACAAATAACCAGATGGTAAATGTGTAGCCCAAAAAAATTCTCTGTCTGAATTACACTTAGTCGACTGAAAAAAGTGGCTCTGAAAAGCCAGGTCAAATACCTGAAATGCCACTCATGGCTTTAATCACTTAATCAGATTAATCACTTAATCACCATGTTCCCTAATAGCTAAATTTAGTTTTTTGGTTGGACAAAAAAAAACATTTTCAGACGCACCCACATGACCAAAACTCAAATTGCTGTCCGATGTCGCCGAGAAACGTGTGCGTTCCGGCTTCAAACTCCACACCCTGATCTTCCAAAGACCTGACAAAGGGAGAGGGTGGACTCACCAGGGACTACCAAAATCTGAGATTTCGATGAAAAATGACCCAAAAAATCCTCCAAGCTCTGCCAAAAAACGTTCCAACATCGGCCAAATTTGGGATGATTTCCTGCGACATCGCAATTTGGGTGGGTCAAATCATTGTTTTTCCCTCCATTTTCTCGAGGCTTTTGCAGCCCTGAAAAGGATGGCAAGTAAGCGCTACACCACGAAGACATCCATGTTCAAAGTATTTCAAAATATGTCAATTGATGGTAAATGACATGGTAAATGACACGGTAAATGACACATTTTTGGTTTCTCTGAAAATCCTGCGCCATAATTAGCCCCTAAAAATTCTAAATCCAGTGCTTCATGCCATCAAGGCCGCGCCGTCGCCTCACCAGGGATTTGTAGTACGGCTTCCAGGAGGCATCCCCCTGCGGCCCGTTCTCCACACGTTGAATCTCAGCCGCGCGGAAGAAGAAGAAGTTGTTGGTTTTTTTGCGCTTTAAGTTTCTGGGGTGTTGAAACAAACATGGAGAATATCACATATCAATATCACATATCATCATATCCATATATATATGGATATCACATATAATAATATATATAATAATATATAATATCATATCATATTATCATGGAGAAATCATCATCTCATTCTTCTCTGATTTCGGATGTTGGATGTTTCTCCAACCGAGAAATTCCATGAGATTCCCGACAAACAATTCCGCCAAGAAACGCGCAGCGCTCGCACGGGATACCATGTCTCAGGTGGTGAGAGAATGTAGGCTTGCTGTTCCATGGGTAATGCCTAGCTGAGGTGGATGGATTCTGAGGACTGGGGAAAAACATGCAAAAAAAATGGCATGGTACAGGATCATATTAGATATGTATGATATCATGATAATTTGATCATATAATATGATATAAGTAGTATAATATAAATATAATATAAATATAATATAAATATAATATAAATATAATATAATATAATATAATATATAATTGTAATATAATTGGAGTATACTACAATAAATGCATGAACACACAGTATATGGATGCGTTCCGACCATTGGATCAAAAGAGTGAGAGAAAAGCCGGGTTTAGCCCGCAACAATAAAACACATATGGGGGGGTTCATGGGGTCTCCATAAATGGGGGATCCCCAAAATGGAAGCTTTGTAATGGAAAATGGTATCAAAATGGTATGTTTTGGAAGTCGAGGTACTGTACCATACTGTACCCCAATTTTTAGGAAACCCCCACATATGAAAAGTACGTAACATGCAGGTCTTTAGATCAAATGGGCCCATCACAGTGAACTTGCAGTGAGAAGAAGCTGACAAATCCAAGGGTTCATGATGGTGATAAGACTGTCCATTTCCTACATTACCAGCATTCAATATACCATAATATACTCACATTGTCACATAGTCTGTAGAAATCAAAGATGGCGACGGCAAATGACCCATTTATAGATAATCTTTGTGGTTTTGCCATTAAAACCTCCATTTAGTTCGGGTGTGTCCCATTGCCATGAACCATGCCCGATCATCACTGCCTGGGGATGTACCCCGAGTCATGAGTCATGACCATGAAAGACGGGGAAAATCTGGTTGTGAAACATCAAACTTAGGGATTTTCCCCAAACTCTTTAGAAACTTTAGACCAAGCCATCTTCGGAATGATTTCGCTCTCTGATTTCGCAAAAACTTCGTCGCCTTGAGATTTCGCCATGAAAAATCGCGCCTTGAAACAAGCTGAGACCATGCGATACTCCTGCGACAACTTGGAGCCAGGTCATTCGCACACCTTGAATTTTCACTCGGTCCCCATACGCCTTGCTGACAGAGTCCAAAATCTCAGGTGTTTCTGGGGGAAAGACTTTCCACTGTTTCTAAGGCTTCTCGACCATCGAAAAGAAATGCTTGGGTTTCATCACTTCCAAAAACTAATATCAGTCGTTTGACATCACCATACTAAGCACTGATGGATAAGGGATCATTCTTAATTAGTGTACATGTACAATATGTAAAACTGTTTGAAGCCACCAACTACTACTGTACTTCGCCAACTCGAGTCACAATATGAAACTACCAGGTGAGAATAATATATGAAATCATACACAGATCATGTTCTCAATCTTGCTTGCACCTTGCACAAGTTGACTCAATTGACTCAATTGAGAATGGTTCACGATTAACCCAAAAAAAATGCAGACAGGTACCCTCTGGTAAACTAACATAGCTATGGAAAATCACCATTTTTAATGGGTAAATCAACTATTTCTATGGGCCATGTTCAATAGCTATGTTAGTTTACCAGAGGGTTTTTCCGTTTCGCTAATATCATGGGCGCACCTCAGTCCCCGGATGAACATCGAAGAGATGTTGCCCATGGCCGTTGGTGGACCAGAGTCGCATGATCTGCTCAGGGCTGAAGCCTGGCGAAAAATTTATTCGCTGGGGTCGATGGATCGGTTTAAGCGCTATTGACCTGCATTTCTTTGGAGTTTAAGGTGATTTAAGATGATTTAGGATAATTTAAGATGATTTATGGTGATTTATGATGATTTAACTGATTCCAGACAACCAAAATTGGGTTTTAACACCCAAGCTGAACTTAAATGGCTTGTTTAAGAGAGAATCTACGGTTGAAACCGTTGGGGTAGGGAACCCTATTTTGACCCACATCAGCATGTGGTCTTAGCAAAGCAAGCTGGGTTTGAAGTTTGAAGAATCCGGACAGAACCGACAGCTCCACCAAACAACATCGCTTAGGGCCTAGGGATCGATCCCGCAGTTCATGAAGTCTGGGCGAATCTCCATTCCTGTGATCTGTGAGTTTCCTTTCCACCCAAAGTCGCCAAAACCTCCAGGTGTACCGAAAAAATGCTGGCCATGGCTAGCCCCAAATCCATTGGTTGAGTTATGCGCTCTCCAACAACGCGGAACCGAGGACGCTGTCACATGTCCAGATGGAAAAAACTCAGATTTTTTCGGTGGAAATGATCACATTTGAATTCCATATTCAATGATAGATATATTATATATATATACGAATAATATGCGCATAATTATATGATATTAAAAAAATGATAAGAATGACAATAATAATAAATAATATATATATATACCAAAGATCTTTCAATGGGCTTTCCGGATTTCCCAAGTGCCTAGCCACAGCTCAGCATTGTTGCGCTCTATTGACAGCCTGCGGGGAAAAGTCTAAACCGCATTCCCGGGGCCAAACCTCCAAACTCAACCATCACTCTTCATGCTTGAAGCTCTAGGAGCAACAAAAACATTACCCTCTGGTAATGACTAACAGTTCGCTATTGAAAATGGCCATTTATAGTGAGTTTTCCCATCAAAAATGGTGATTTTCCATAGTTATGTTAAATTACCAGAGGGTACATCTCACATCATCTCACCAGCCAATACCCGGCCATCATGGATTTTTTTCCCAAAAACCGGGAAAAAACACCCAAACATTTAAGTTGATTCACTCAAATCACCCATATCCACCCAAAATCGGCCATCCCCCCATATCCAAGTGGCTGACCTCTCTTTCCAGGTGCGAATGAAGTGCATCTCCGGCCCCTCCGGACACAGCACTGAGTCAATGAGCCGCGGCAGCACGTCATGGTGCAGCAGGGACTCCTGGTGGAAAGTCACTGGGACAGGGACACTCATGTGTTACCCTCTGGTAAACTAACATAGCTATGGAAAATCACCATTTTTGATGGGAAAATCAACTATAAATGGCCATTTTCAATAGCTATGTTAGTCATTACCAGAGGGTATTCCAATGCCACAAAGCCATAAACGTCCATAAACCATCCCGCAATGATGTAACACTTCCACGGGAGGAAGCTCAATTCGTAGCTCCCCAATGCTCCCCAGATACCCCCCAAAAAAATAGCCCCATAGCTCCCCAGATGCTCCTTTGATTTCCCCGAATCACTGGATAGTTTTTCTCCAAGACTTTTTCGGAACAACGGGGATACATCAGTCGATATCGGACCATTCGATTCACACTTTAACCACTATTAACCAGATATATCACCATTCATATCACCATTGAAAATCATTATTAACCACTATTAACCAGAAATCCCCCATTTTTTCCCAGAAATCTCCCGTTTTTCACGGCCATGGATCTTGACACTCCGTCCTGATTGTGGGTGTCCCCTTGGCGACTGATCTGCCCGGAGGGTAAGCGACCACTGTCGCAGGTGAAGTAGAGGAAGGTCTTGTTCATGCCACCCGTGTTCAAGATCGCCTGAACACCATTGGGTCAAGAAAACCCAATTGAAACCCCCAAGTTATAACAGTTATGTGGCTGCTGGTTTTATGATGTCTTATGAACCCCATGAGTTCTTAGAGTTTCTTGGAGTTATTGGGCTTGTTATAATGACCATATGTTGTTTATTAACTCCTTGTTGGAATTGCCATCAACCATTGCTTTTTTGTTGTGTTTAGCTTTCAAAAACCCATTCTTACAGAAGTGACTGAATTTTCGGCCTAATCTGATCCTAGTCTTGGCCGGAGAGTTGTTTATTCAATGTAAGAGAACCGGTTGATAAACGGATAGAATAAAAGGCGATCTAAGATGAACAAAAGAAGAAACTATATTATATATATATATATATGTATATTTATTGCTATTATTATTATACATTATATAAATAAGAGAACTAGGTGATAAGAGAACTATCCTAGACGATGAGATGAGGTAAGAGAAGATGTTCGATTCACCCCTCACCTTCTAAGCAACAGGAAGGTGCGGCTGCCTCTCGAGCAGCTCCTGGATGTGATATATGATTGGGTATTGGTCAAAATGTTTGTACACATATCCCCACAAATAGCTGGTCACTTTTAGAACTCAACTGAATAAATCATCCATGTTCATCCATGTTCGGGGGTTAATCATTTTGACCACTACACAATTGAGTATATTACGATTACTGTAAAAATATGTACAGGTGAACCAAGAAACATGCTGATATTACGCAGATTCAACATTCAATACCAATAAACCAACATAGATATGAAACATATTGCAACATCACCAATTTATACATACCATCTGGTTATTTGTTACATAGCCATGGAAAATCACCACTTATAATAGGTAAACCATCTATTTCTATGGGCCATCTATACCATGGCTATGTTAAATAACCAGAGGGTAATATTACATAATGCTTCCATGTTTGTGCCATTTAAAAAGCCATTTTCATGGGAAAACATGACGCCGCCGGCCATGCCGGACAAAAAAAACGTCGCCTCCAAGTCATGTCGACTGATGGGATACACCTCGTCATTGGAGCCCACAGCAATCGCAACATTCGATTCCTGATCTGGTGCATCTTGGCATGGAATAAAGGTTCTGCATATAGACATATATATATATATTCTATATATATATATATTCTATATATATATATTCTATATATATATATTCTATATATATATATATTATATATATTCTATATATATATATTATATATATATATTCTATATAGATATATATATATATATTCTATATATATATATGTGTCATAAATTCATATATAATTATATATGTCATAATATGTGTATATATATATATTATGATATACCATAGTATATCTATGTAGCAAATGATATATTTACAGTATAATGGTGTATGCATTACCTGACATATGATATGTGATACTATGTTATGTCTTGCATTAAGGCTATAATAATATAATATGTATAAATATATATATAATATATATCATTATATATTATTAACCAAAGTTGCAAAGTGTGCTTGCACAATGTTTGTCCTCTGGTAGTCAAGCTTCGCAATGGAGAATCTTGAATGGGAACATCATCTACTGATGGGGTAATTGTCGATTGCTATGTTTGAATACCAGGGGTATATATGCTTAATCTGCAATAGAAGAGATGATATTGGAACATCCTTCAGCCGATTCATCAGGGTATCTGAGGTGCACATTGCAATGAAATTACCAAGGATAAAAATGTGTACCTATGACTGTCTGCACTTGTCTCAGACTTGTTACTTGTCTACTGCATAAGCCCCAGCCGGATAGTGGTTTCAACGATAAATATACGAAACCATCAACATTGCCAAGCAGTTGTACAGCCTGTTTGGCTGTTGCATCCTCAATTTGGGCCTGTTCAAACCTCCCATCTTTGCACCAGTTCGATTGCACCATCCCTGAGATTTGTTCAGGTCTAACGGTCTAACCAGAAAAAACTTCTTACATTCCATAACCCTTGACACTAACCCAAACCAAATCATTCGTCACCAGCACTGGAATTACCTAGATGATTTCACCTCGCATCGCGACATTTGTCGTCAGGTGCTAAACAGTAAAAGATATGGTGAAATCAGGTAATAAATCTATAATCAGGTAATAAATCTATAATCAGGTATACCAATCTATAGTCAGGTATACCAATCTATAATCAGCACCAAGATATGGTAATAAATCATCGACCTTTGGTGAAAGCTTGGGCGAAACTTGGGATGCCGTCCACATTTCCCTCCACGCCTGTGGCAATTGACGACAAGTTGGATGCCTCAAAAGCAAACTGGTTTGCTGCTCTCCATTCTCAGGCGTACTTGTTGGTTCCTGGGTTGTTTGCTCATTTACAATCTTAACTCCCCGGGCAAAGATGATAGCCTTTCTAGTCTTTTTAGTAAAAATTACTTACAGTCATAGTGTTATGGTTGATATGATATGTTCTTCCTTTTGAAGTCAAACATAAACCCATTGGGGTACTGTACCAAGCTAAGGTCTAGTACAAGCATTTTCAGTCTTACCCGCTGGTGTCCTCAAACATGGCTGGCTGGGAAATATTCTAAAAACAGTGGTGTTCATGGGAAAAATCATCCATACCCTCTGGTAATGACTAACATAGTTATTGAAAATGGTGATTTATAGTGGATTTACCCATTGAAAATGGTGATTGTCCATAGTTATGTTAGTTTACCAGAGGGTAAGTACCTTAAATGTTCATGAATGTTTCATTGCCATGTTTGATCTTCTGAGGCTATTCCTGGTATTCTGACTGCAGCACAACTTGAATCAACATAGACATCTGGCAAGGGATGACTGGTTTTTAAACATCTCCAGATGTTGCAGATTTAGCCGATAAGTTGCTTAGATGTAGTATATTTTCTAGATGTGTTGGTCAACATGTTGCCATTATATATCAACCATACCAAACTATGACTAACCGACTAACCTAGTTGGTTTACCCAGCTATCCCAATATCCCAATGTTTTGCTGCTGATGTCCCGTAAAATCTTTGGCGGCTATTGCATGTGCTTGCTTTCTAAATCTCATTCATATTCATATCCACATGTTTGTGCGTTGACCAATGTCCCCCAATCTAACATGGAATCCAAAGCGCGAGCCACCACTAAGAAAATCATCGAACTGGGACTCCTTTTTTCAGGTTCCAAGTTCCAGGTCTTTTTTTTGCGCATATCATCCCCATCTAAGAGTGGTACAGTATGCAATCGGATTCCCACTTGTTTTAAATCCTTTTTCCATGTTCCATCTTAAATCCCATATACAGGTTCCATAGTTCAATGTTAAATCTGCTGAACATCCCGAAGGTTTTTGGAAAACATGGCCCATGTTTCCCCCAGATCTCCGGGTTTCCGCTTGAGCTCCGGACGCATTGATGAGCACCGTCGGCCTTGGGCTTGGGAAAGATGACGGCTGCGATGTTCCAAAGTTAACTATTTAATCGAACAAAACCTATATATATAATATAAAAACTGGATAAATAATTAACTTTGGATAACTATTACTATGGAATCAGTTTAATGATTAATTACTATTTAACCAAGTTGTTGTCAGTTTCTGTGCAAGTTAATTACTGTACAATAATTCACCCGAAAAGTTCCATAACTTCCCCGGATAATTCCGTCATACTCCTTTCCATAACGAAGAAATGATTGAATGTCACCATTTCCGAATGAATCATGAATCATCATGAATCATCGTCATCCAAGTACAGGATAGTAACCAAGATGATAACCATAGTAATGGCTATTCATGACTATAATTAACTATAGTAATTCATAACCATAACTATAATTATGGCCATAACTATCGATAGTAACCAAGATGATAACCATAGTAATTCTCGTCATCGATAGTCATGGCTCATTCACCGGTCACCGCTGAGCTGCCGCACCCTCTCCAATAGCCACGTCGCCACAGGCCGATGATGTACACGCCACCTGGGATGCTATGAGTCATTTCATCCCCATGGGCCCCATGGGTCAACACAACACTGGGTCAACTTTCCAGAAACAGAATCTGGGATGATTTTTAGTAGCCGCTGGTAATTTCAGATGGACATTGCTATAGAAAATCAGCATTTCTTGGTGAATCAGACTAAAATCAGACATAGCTCTGAAAAATCATCACGTTTGCTGGTAAGTCATCGAACCAACCATCTACCCTCTGGTAATGACTAACATAGCGAACTCGAAAGTCCCCATGCTATTAATGGGTAAATCCACTAGTTCAATGGCCATTTTCAATAGCTATTTTAACACAACCAGAGGGTAAATCACAGCAAACTGATCCTGGAGATTACCAGGGGGGACCCCTTCTGTCCTATGTTTGACTATTCCTGGACCATTTTGGGACCAGAATCTCCCATTTCCCATCTATCCAGGAATCTATCTCCCCACTGGTCATATCAATTGGTGATTTCCATCCGTCATTGCAATCAGTATCTAAAAATTATATATGGGGGGTTCCTAAATTGGGGGGTACCCCTAAATTATACAATTTTCAATTGGATTTTCCATTATAAACCATCCATTTCGGAAACCTCAATATCTCGATCCTTCCCCGCCTTTGGAGGCACCCACAATGACATGAGGTCTGAACCTGGGGCGTCCGAACCAGGCGAATTTTCCTAGAGATGTGGTGCAAATTTTGGTGCAACATGTGGGAAAAACTGCGCAATCATGTGAAAATGATAATATGAATTTCATATGAACGTGCCATGAAAATCATGGAAACTCTGGTATGATATGAACATCAAAACAGAATTTCTAGAAACTTCGGAAACTTTCCGGTGCTGACTCGGTGACAAATGCTGGTGGTCCCGGCTCCCAGAATGGATGATGATAATCCCCAATACAGTGGATAGTATTGCAACCCTCTACAGTCATCAACCAAGAGTGGTTTTGAACACTGATCAAATGAGACGTTTGTTATTGTATAACCATGGGAAATCAGGTGGAAACTCGCCCAAACTGATAAAATAGATGAAATATGATGAAATATGATGAAATGTCATTGATGATGCAATCAAAGGCTGCACAAATGCCAAACTGGCCAATCAAAAGGGTTGTCATGTGGTCACAGCTACTTGTTGGGAGACCCAACGCGTCCATCTCCGATTTGATTTGTTCTGGCCAGGAATGAAAGTCGGGGAAACGGGAAAGAGAGGAGAAACTTGGGCATCAACGGGCCTCTCAAACTCTGGCATTTCCGATGTACTCGTTGTTTAATCATTCAGTTTACTGCCAAATCGACAGGAAACCATGGCATTTACTCCGAAATATGAGGGTCACCGGGTCTCCCGCACATGGGGTGGTCCATTCCAAAGATGACTGCGTCATTGGGGCAGGTTGGAGATTGAAAGGTATCATCCTATGGCGTTTCGTGTTTACCCTTTTCTCGGAAAAAACCAGCTGTTCAGTATAGCTGGCCTTAGCTACCCTGCATGAAATGTTGAGTTTTAGTTTTACTATGATTTCATGTTCCTCTGTTGATAGCCAGACATAAACCGGTTCAGCCAAATTAACCAGGCAATCCCCATACCGGAATCGTTCTAAAATGGGAACTAAAAACACACACAAAAAAAAAAAACACCGACATTACAAGCTGCAAAATTTACATCACCACTAACCGCCGGCTTCAAGGAATTTGGGATCTTTGCACTTTGGCCTCCAAGCCCCACTTGCTCCCGGCCTAGGTATGGCTCCACGGGAAAATTGGGGATCTCAGGGTTCGGAACGCTGAAGCACCAACCAACCTGCAGCGCAGTCGGAAGCTCAAACCCCTTGACCCACAAAAAATGGGTCCCACCCAGTTCATGTGGCCACTTGATGACATTTGAAAAAAAACTGCAGTCTTCCAGAACTTTCCGGTAGTTTTTCCTTTGAACTTAGTGATGGCACGCCACATTTGTATATTTATATATATATCATATATATATATATACAATATGATATAATATGTAAAATATATGTCTATAAATATATATATATATATATATATTAGTTAGACTGTTGCTCCCCCGTCTTTCTCATCTAACCGCTCACATTATTATACAAGCAAATTCTATGGGGTTAATACCAAAGACAGGGGAGCAACACCTTATAGAAAACAATAACATAAATCATAACAACAAAACAAAAAACTCAAACAACCTAAACAATACAATAGATTATTTAAAAAAAAAACTATACCATAAATCATAACAAAAAAACAATTTCACTTTCATAATTTTGAAATTATAAAATGAAATTTATGTTTGCTGTTTCTTCAAGTTCTCCAGATGCTTTGTTGTTTGTGTGTGTCTCTTGTAATTCTTACATTGAATTTCATAATCATCACATACAGGGCAGGTCATCCATTTTATTTTAGCATTCACTTGTTCAATGTGTTCTGCTCTATGATTTCTTCTTCTTTCATTTATTTCTTCCCTGTGTGTCCTACCATAATTTCTAGCATATTCCTTTGCCTCCTCTATATGATTGTAATAATAGTCTCTCCTCCTTTCATTATATTTTTCTTTGTTCTTTTGATGATTAGCCCTCATATATTCCCTACATTTATCACAAGTTTTGTATTTACCCTCTTCCATTTCTTTAAAACATTTAGCACACTTGACTTTAGTATCCTCCATTACCTACTATAGATAGGTAATAACTCTTTAAGTGTCTTTCCTATCCCTTTTCCCTAGATTGTAACATAATCAACAACAAAATCATAACAACAAACAACAAATGGAAAAAAAAACAACATAGACAATACAATAGATTATAAAATAGCCTATACCATAAATCATAACAACAATAACAAATTCAAAACAACCTACTACAAACAAAAACAAAGCAACAAAACAACAATAACAAAATCCTAACAACCTACTATTAATAAAACCAATGACACAAACCAGAACAAGCTCATCATATCAACCCATCTCATCAATCTCATCCGTAAAAATTATATAATATAATCATCATAATTGTATTGAATAATTTTCATCAAAGCATACACAAACATACATCATCTTACCTTATCTATTTCATAGGTGTTGTTTCTAGAAATCATAATTGCTTGAAGTAGTCCTAGAAAATAATTGCAACATAAATTTAATAGAATTATTTTATCAAATGTTTGTAACCAACATAATTTTCAAAATCATTTATTATGAAGATTATGGGATTAATTACCGCAGTCTCCCCCTACAGGGGAAGCCTCAACCCCCAGCCAATATACTATCCCACCCCCCAGCATACATACCAGCATACATACAAACTAGCATATCACAACAGCATCACATCTTTCTCAATCTCAAATCTCTTTAATTGCCGCAATTACCATGCCCGAACCGCCCTTCATGAACTTGTTGATGACCATGTCTTCCTAACCTCAGCGCGATGTAAATGGAAAACCAATCCAAACTTTTGGGGTGAAATGGAGTGAAAAGGATGGTGTGTGTCCATACTTGTTGGTGCCAGTCTTCAAGTATCTGGTAGTTGTTGCCTTTTTAGCAGGCATGCATGAATGCACTGAATGCCAAGCTTGTGACGGCTCCCTGGCATGAATGCTCTATTGAAACAATGCCTACCTACATACAAAGCTTTTCAATCACAAAAGGATCTGCTCAAAGCACTGTTTGGCAAGTCGCCCTGTTGGCAGAGCAAGCCTTCTCACGCACCTTCACCAAAATTTGCCGAGTGGTGGCGGTCCCATACAGGACACCTAAGGAGATTACCTATAACAGTCCATATAACAACACCCAGGCGGATTATTCATAACCCCGCACTGATTGCACGGACAATGATATTCAGCTCCGCGTCCAAATTTCCTCGTGAAGTTGTTCCGGCTAATGTTTTGTGATGCAATCCCTGTGCGGTTGGTGTCTGCAGCCTCAGCGCTCAATGCAAGGATGATGAGGCAAGCGACAAAACGGATTTGCGCCATGAACATGCCGACACCCCTAAGCTGAAAAGCGTGCCCAAGTGGTTTGAGCAAAAGAGGCTGAAACACTACACAAAATTCCAAGCTCAAACTGCAAGAGCTAATTTCTGTAGCTTTCCAATTGAGAATGTCAAAGGAGCTCACATGAAACAAGGTCAAGCTCTCCAAGAACATGTGGCTTCAAACCTCTGACTGGCATATTCCCAACAGCTGAGCGCCCCGACAACAGGATGAAGAAGAGATTGATGACAAAGCCAAGGCGAGGAAGGGCAAAGGAACATGGAGCAATCCCAGCCAATGACCCAAACGTGCAAAACACGAATTCGTGGGGAAAACAAATGAAGGGCAAAACACAAAACCCCGAAATCAAAAGAGCACATCAATTCAACCATCTCATGGTTGCATCAAGTAGGCATAAGTAAGAAAAACAAATGCTTACAAGGCTGTCTAAAAGACCTTGAATCTTTAAAAGTTCGTGCCTCATCAACAATCTTGGGTAATCAGTTAATTTGTAATATGTTTGGTTCAACTTTTCTGCAATCTCTTGCACAACATAATAACCTGGTAGCCAGTGGGAAGTTCTTTCTTTCTCTGTAATTGCTTTCTTTCTCATTATCTTTACTTTGTCTCCCGCCTCTAATGTTGGGTATATTATTTCTTTCTTTGCCTTTGATGCTACATTCAGCATTGCTCTGAATTCATTTTTATCTTTCCTTGCCTCTTTTGGTGTCATACCTGTAGCGGAATGCTTCATTTTATCATTGTATGTAAGCATTATTTCTAAATTGTAATCAACCCATTGTATGTTTGCCTTATCCTTTTTTTCATCAGCCTCTACTCTTTTAAAAAGCATATTTTTGTATGTGCGTATAAATCTTTCAGCAAATGCTGGGCGTCCTCTAGTCCTATGTAAGGTTATACCTTCACCTTCCACATAATCCTTAAAGTCTTCACCTGCTATTGCTCTCTCATCATCTGTATAAATCATCTTAGGCTTCTTACCCATTTTCCCTAATGCCTCTTTAGTTGCTTCAAGGACATCTTCACCATTTTTAGTTTGAATTGGAACTACAACGGCATACTTGCTTAAAACATCAATACACACTAACCCTCCTCTGAATGGTTGTTCTTTCTCAAAATCATAATAACCCATAAAGAACAAATCAACCTGAAAAGTGTGATAATTGTGAGGGGCTGTGAAGGAATTCATCCCTCTGGGCTTTGCTTTTATCTCAACATTTTTTCTAAAGAATTGTTCAATATCCTCTTTCTTGATTGTAGGTTCTTTCTTTTTAGCATCTTCTAATGTGGTCTTTCTTGAACCATAGCCCGCTTTATCAAAATAAATATCACTATAGCGCCGGACAACTACTTAGAACATTGGTTTTGGAATTCCAAAACGTGTTCTAAGTAGAGATCCTGGACCACTACTTAGAACATATATGTTCATATATGTTCTAAGTAGAGGTTTTGGGGGTTCCCCCGTGTTCTAAGTAAGAATCCCCCCAGCTATCTACGTGCATTTTTGGAAAATCCTGTGTATATATAATATATTTTGAATATTGTAGTTGTCCGGCACTATATATTCATATAATAAAAACTTTCCAAACCTGATGTTCGAATCGTATGTACATCGCTATATATATATACACAGAGGTTTTGGGGGTTCCTCCATGTTCTAAGTAAGAATCCCACCAGCTATCTACGTGCATTTTGGAAAATCCTGTGTATATATAATATATTTTGAATATTGTAGTTGTCCGGCACTATATATTCATATAATAAAAACTTTCCAAACCTGATGTTCGAACCGTATGTACATCGCTATATATATATATACACAGAGGTTTTGGGGTTCCTCCATGTTCTAAGTAAGAATCCCACCAGCTATCTACGTGCATTTTGGAAAATCCTGTGTATATATAATATATTTTGAATATTGTAGTTGTCCGGCACTATATATTCATATAATAAAAACTTTCCAAACCTGATGTTCGAACCGTATGTACATCGCTATATATATATACACAGAGGTTTTGGGGGTTCCTCCATGTTCTAAGTAAGAATCCCACCAGCTATCTACGTGCATTTTGGAAAATCCTGTGTATATATAATATATTTTGAATATTGGAGTTGTCCGGCACTATATATTCATATAATAAAAACTTTCCAAACCTGATGTTCGAATCGTATGTACATCGCTATATATATATACACAGAGGTTTTGGGGGTTCCTCCATGTTCTAAATAAGAATCCCACCAGCTATCTACGTGCATTTTGGAAAATCCTGTGTATATATAATATATTTTGAATATTGTAGTTGTCCGGCACTATATATTCATATAATAAAAACTTGCCAAACCTGATGTTCGAATCGTATGTACATCGCTATATATATACACAGAGGTTTTGGGGGTTCCTCCATTTTCTAAGTAAGAATCCCACCAGCTATCTACGTGCATTTTGGAAAATCCTGTGTATATATAATATATTTTGAATATTGTAGTTGTCCGGCACTATATATTCATATAATAAAAACTTTCCAAACCTGATTTTCGAATCGTATGTACATCGCTATATATAGACACAGAGGTTTTGGGGGTTCCTCCATGTTCTAAGTAGAATCCCCCCAGCTATCACTGCATTATTGAAGAATCCTGTGATATATATGATTATATTCTGATATTGTTATTGGCCCGCACTATATTTCAATAATAAAAACATTTCCAACCTGATTTCGAATCGTATGTCATCGCTATATATATATAGACACGAGGTTTTGGGGGTTCCTCATTTCTAAGTAGAATCCCACCATCTATCTCCGT